CCCAGATACTAGGAAAGCTTCTAGTGGTGAAGTTAAATAAACCATGACAATTAAAGGATTAGGAATGTTATGGGTCTTGTGAAGAAAAAAATCTTCTGCACATGTACAGGGCATTAGGAAAAGAAGCCAAAACTCAAGAGAATTTGCTGTGACTTTATGTTACTGCAAGAGAATACATCAGGGCCCTGATATACAAAAGGATTATTGATATGTATGTTCCCTTCTGAAGAGACTCCCAGGAGATCCATTCTGGATTTAACAATAATCCATACTCCCCTTCAGAAATGGCAGAACAATGCTCCCATTTCCCAGGACTGCCTCCAACACAGGAATCATTAAGATGCCATCACAACCCTGCATTCCAGGTGCTGTAAACACCAGCTGGAACAGGAATAAATCCCAACCACAGCTCATGAGCAGTCAACACCTCCACATTTCTGCACAAGCATCTGCCTGTGGTGCCCACTGTGCAGAGGTGCACACTGCAAAGGTCAGTGTGCCCCAGCAAAAATGGGGAGGTGCTGTTATCTCTAATGAGCTAGAGGGGCTTAACAGAGAGGTTGGTTATAAAGGGGATCAGTGAAATCTCAGGAGACGTGTCAGGACAATGATATTTGCATCAATAATGAAGAAAATGCCCCTCCTTGTGAGCAGTTTCTCCCTTCTTCAGGGCCACTTGTTTGTGTTAATGTATGCACACGTGTGTGTCATATTTCCAGAAAGCCTCTCACATTAAACTCTCCTTTCTCCTCCAAAGCCATTCCACAGTATTTCTCTGAAACGCATTAAGCACACTGACTGAACAATGTGATCCTAATTAGTTTGCAAACTACACAGCTCACCTCTGAGGGCGAGCAAAGCCCATGAAAATTAAAGTGAATTGCAGCGAGGTGGCTCAGGCTGCCCAAGGAATCACTCCCAGATTAGGGCTGCTCCAACGTGCCTCCTCCACGGCTCCCACCCTCCCGTGACAACTGAGTCCATTTCACCCACGACAGCAGGGAAGAGAGAGATGTACAGCCACTCTGCACTTCAGTATTCCATGGTGGGCTATTCTGCACAATGCAGAGCCCATTTGGTCATTTACCAAAAGCAAAACTCTGCTCCTTTGCAGGTGCCCCTGGCTGCAGAGGCCACTGATGCTGTCCCCACTCTGGTGACCCAGGGCGAGCACAGGGACGCTGCCAAAACCCAAATGCCACAAAACCTGTGTGCAGTTTTGATGGTGATGTCCCAGGGTTTGTGCAGTAATTGAATAATCTAAAATTTTCATTCCTGTCCTCATGGACTAATCTGCAATAGTGTTAAGGGACTGTTATGATATTAATTAAATACAAGTCCTGCATACAAAATTGATACTTTGCATCTCATCTCCACAAGGGAGTTTCTCTCTTAATAAGACTGAAATCAAGTTTTACTTTTTTGTTGTTTCTTTTTTAAGGAATTCATAAAGATTACCATATTGTACCAAGGTAACAAACACCCAATCTACAAGAGACCAAGGTATTCTCAAATACAGAAGCTCTGGTGCTTGGAGTGGGACTAGAGGAACAGCTCTGCCCCAGCCTTGGGACAGCTCTTCTCCATAACCACTTCTCAGGCACTGGGGTTTGGAGAGACTAAAATATCCTCAACACAGGATAAAGAGCAATTTGATCAGTGTTGACCTTCCAAAACACAAATGATGAGAGGGAAATTCACTATAAAAACACAACCTCATTTTAATTTTGGCAGCAGTTTACTATGAATTCATGTGAAGGCACAGTTACACTCTCCTGGAAAAGTTCACACACAAGAAAAGGCAGAAATGCAACCTCTGAGCCAGGAGCCTGCAAAGCAGAGCAGCACCATCCGGAGTCATGGCAAAGCTATTCCAACACTCCCCTTACTATTATTTATTAGTTAATATTTTTAATTATGTGACTTGATTAGGAACACATCGCCAGGGATCCTAATTAATTAGAATTTTAAAAAGGATCACAGACTAGAGATTCCACAAAGAATTGCACAAAGAGGTGTATTAAGGGAAAGGCCAAATTAACTTCTCCTTTCTGGTTTATCCAGCCTTTTCTAAAAGGACTGTGATCAGATTAACCAAGTAATACCCAAACCCCTCCTGTACAGCAATGCTAACCAAGGCAACAGCTTGAGGATTTCAGGCCATTTTCATTTAACATCCCCTTGGTTAAGTAGTTTATTCCTCCTAAACCATATTTATTTAAATGAGTGTATTCCTGGTCAAAGTAGTTTACTCCTTATTTATGTCCTAAATTGGCTTTAGCTGCCTCACCCATGCTCACCAAATCCTTCTATAGGGTTCTGAAAGACATCAACATCCCTCAGGATTCGATGTAGACTTTTTGTTTCCAAAATGTATTTTTCTATTTACCCAAAACTTGGAAAGACAAAGGAGCCATCACATTGACAACGCTCAGGAAGGAATTAATTATTAAATCTCCTAATACCAATCCCTGTTCAGAACTGGCTGGTCAGTAGTTTCACAGGCCAGCATGTTCCTCTTGCCTGCCTCCGAGCTGCCATTTCCAGAGCAATGTTTGGATGCTATTGATGCTCTTGGCTGTCGGCTCTGCAAGTACTTTTCCATCAGTACGACAATGATCCCTATTTATCTTCTGGCTGCAAGAGTCGCTGAGATGATCTGGCAGTGCCACAAGGCAGACAGTTATTTCATGCCCTGTTAAACCCTAATGCAGCTAACTACGGTATCACTCCAAATTTGAAAAAAGCCTTTTTTGTTATTTTAAATCTGCTGCCTACGTGTCCAAGTTGAGAACATTGCTTCCTTTTAGAATGGTATCAGAAACCTAAACTCAAAATGCTGTCTGTGAAGTAGCAAGGTGTACTGATTGAGTAATTAATTAATAAGGTTAAAACTACATCATTCTGCCCAAGAAACACCTGGAAGTCAAGAGAACAGATGACTTCTGCATCGTTCAGAACAGAGACTGGCAGTGACCACCCAGGTGCTGCCTGTGGATGAGAGGGTGCAAGTACCTTCTTGAAGAGAGAAAATCAGGTACTAAAGGGCTCTCAAGCTGGAGAAGGATGTAGGAATGAATGGCTAAACCCTGGTACATCCAAATCACAAAGCAAATAGTTTGACACTTATTTTCCTGAGTGGAGAATGTGATCAGCCACAAGGAGGATCCCTGAAAGCTGTGCTTCCTCCAGCTCCAGATGTGCCCATCTGTATTTGCTACTTTCCAGGAGACACTTCAGTAAAATAGAACTTAATGGGTTCAGTGCAGGGCTCTTTGAGTTAAACACAATCACCACCACATCCATGCAGTTGGGCACTAAAGGGCTGGGTAGCTCCAGCTTTGGAATAACCCCAAGAAAGTCCCATTTATTTTCTCGTGTGCTCATGTGGCAGCCAAAGGTCATTAACAATCTCTTGCTACAGGTAAAGGGACAGCACAGGGTCTGCTGTTCTGAATTGTGAAAGTTTACAGAAGTTAATTAAATCACACTCTGCAAACCCAAAACAAAAACAAGGCACCATTTCTGTGATGATGACTTTTTTTTTCTTTTGTGCTTGTCATAATAAAACATTGTTATTGGATGTAAAAATTATGGAACAAAGTTATGCCTCTCTGGTGTAATATAATGCAATCCATTTAATACTATTTTAAACCCCAAAACCTCATTAGAGCAGACAGAATGTAAGAATGACAAATGGGCTAGGAGGAAGCTGGAGCACGAGATGAATTCTGGGCACTCGTCCCCTTCCCGTTGCTGGCGCTGACTTTGGGGATGCTGGGGGAGAGCAGGGTGCCCCTCACCCCAACAGGAGGGAGATTCATGCCTTGCAAAGCATCTGCCAAGGCAGGCCTGGGGGTGCAGCTGTAAAGCTCAGCTTAGCCCCAAGTCCAGCTTGGCAGCTGCCAGACAGGCCTGGAGACACAGGTGAAGCTCTGCCTGTCATGGACACCCCAATTACCCCAACCAGGCTCACAGGCTGTCAGCTGTAAAATCAACCCAGTACACAAACACACACCCGGCAGCCTCACGTTCCAATTGGCCAAAATGACACAGCTGAACACTGCAATTACACATTTTCACAGCCTTGGACCAGTTTTGCCCCAAGTTTGGTATCCAGTGTTGGGAATATAGCCCTGCTGAAGTGGAATGAGCTGGGCACAGCTCTGTGGGTGGGCTTCTGCTACCAGAACAAGTCATTGCTATTTAATACATATAAGACTTGGATAAATGCACTTGTTATCCACACCTGTGCAAACCTTTAACATCAGCAGTGACCAGAGTGATCAGAACAGCTCTCTCCTCATGCAGATGGAGGTTAAGAAAGAAAAGTGGTGTCAAACAATGACATATTGTAGAACAAATGAGCTTATTCCAGAAATAATGCCTCAGGTGCATTCACTTGCATGAATGTGTCTGAGTGGCTGAATACCATCAGCAGAGCAAAGGTTCTCTCAAAGCACACATGGATTCTGGGTCAAATTCAACAGAAATTCTTCCCCTGCATACTGCAAGACCAACACTCTGTCAGCACACAGAAATTACAGCAATTGCTACCAAAACTTAGCTGAGATTTGTGAGACCCAAACTGGACCCATTCCAGCTACCACGGTTACAGAGTGCTGTGCAGCCCACCCTGAGGTGTCAGGCTGCCCTTGGGCAGTGCCTGCTACAAAAACCACAGAGTCCACCAGAAGATGCTCAGTGTGGAGACACTCTACAGTCACACAGCCCGGGCAGCAGCCACACAGGCAGGTGGTGAAGCTGTACTCAGTTTGCTCAAAGGAGTGATAAAGAACAAGTCTATTTGCTGGGGGTGGGGCGAGTTGGGGTTTAACCCCAGCCAGCAACTAAGACCCAGGCCAGGGGTAGCAGATGGAATTCAGCAAATAGGAGTAGTTTTCTGAAGGTGTGGACAGCCTTTGTTGGGTTGAGGTGTCTTGGGGAGCCGTCACCTCCCAGCCCAGCACAGCCCACAGCCACCCCCACCACGCTCCTACCTCCACTCCTTGCACCTTCAGTTTCATGTGATCCTCTCTGGTGGTCTTCCCGTCTTTCCTTTTTTTCCAGCAATATCCATCTTTCCTGTATTTCACTTTCTTTCTGTTGTACAGGATCATAGAACCATTCTGTGGTCTAAAAGCAAGAAACAGGTTTGGGTTACATAAAGCAACAAAACCAGAATGAAAGTGTCTATGGAACAATGCCCCACAGACCAGCAAAAGGCTCCACAGAACAGCAACAGTCAGGATTTGGTGTTAAATAAATGCTCCTCTTTTGCTGCTGTTACCTGGCTGAAGTGATGTCTGCAATCTGCAAACTCTTCTGTGAGGATCTTGTACCTAATGCGGGAAGTGCCAGTGATAGGTTAAAGAAAGAAAAAAAGGAATTCTGATAAAATAGCCAACATTTTCACTGGATGTATTTTGACTGCTACATGCTGAAAATTAGAAGGAAAGAAAATTTAGGGGGAAAAAAGGATTGTTGTTATTTAATTACAATTTCTCTCTCTTGCTAACGTACCAGCAGAATGAAATTCCAACCACCTCGAAGGTTGCACCAGGACATGAATGTTGGCTTTAAATGACAATAAACAAGCAAAAAAGAAGGGAAGGATAAAAGCACGAGCTTATACATTGGTTTCACTGTTCTGCTTAGATCAGTGCTAGACAGGGAGTAACCTGCTCCTTCTGAGCACCTTCTCAACTTCAAAGACACAGGAAAACTTTCTCCACTTAAAAACTACGATGGCAATTTGAAATGTCCTTAAAGGCATGGTGATGCCCAGCAGACAGGAGCCACTGTAGTTTGGTTGTAGAGAGATTTTGCTGCTTGCTAAGCCAAATCACAACCGAGGCAAGTCTGTTGTAACACTGAGAAATAACAAATACCCTCCAAGCTGGGAGGCAGTGAGCATTTTTTCCACATACACACAAATATTGATTGCTTGTGGCCAGAAACCCAAGCCCCATCCTCCCAAACTACACCTCCTCCTAACCCCCAGGTCCCAGCAGCCTGGACCCAAGGGCTCAGGGAGGCTGTTCCTCCTCATCACCCTGAAAATAAACACGTGTCAGCACAGCCACAACATCTGTTTGACAGCACTGGAGATAGTGCATTAATTCAGTGGAGGTATTATGTACCTCATTTCAATGTTTATTCTATAAGCCCCCAGTCACTGCACGTGGCAGCTCAAACCTTTCTCTCAACACCAGAGATCCCCCAGGCACCTTCGGGCTGTGGCCGGTGGCTGACGAGTCACCTGCATGGTGAGGGCAGGCAATGAAAAGCCAGAGAGCTGAGCTCCTGCCTCACACACGTGGTGTTCCACAAAACACAGGACCTGGAGGCTTCTGATGCCAGGGAAATCCTGCTTCCCTCACCCCCAGCGCCACGCGGGCACAGGCAGGGCAGAGCTGAGCTCTGCAGCCTCACTGATGCTCTCAGGGCTGGAACTTGGGTTTGTTGGTGATTTCTGCAATGAAAAAGGAACACAGTGAGAGGGCATGGGCAAAGCAGTTAATGAGATTTACAGAAAATAGAGCCCAATGAAACAAAATCTCTTAAGGATCTCTGGAGCGGTTTTCGATTTTGATAAGAGCGTATCGAGCTGCTTTAAGGCTCACAGAAAGCAGCTGGTTTTTAAAGATAACTTCATGAGATGAGACACAGTTTTAACCTGATCTACACTGCTGCATTTCACCCACTGTAAGGAAGAAGAGAGGAAAGCTCTGCCCTGCTCATCCATCCCTCAGCATTCAGACATAGCCCAGAGCAGCCAACTGATCATGTGGCAGACACAGCAAGCAAGGCCTGCCGGGGATTCCCAGGGCATGTGACAGATGTGACTCCAGCCCAAATCTCTGGGGGTTTTGCCACTCAGACTGAATTTGGGGATTTCCTTTTTCCCTTTGCAGATGAGAGGGACAAAGTCACAAGCCTGAGCACAGGCTGCAATTCTTGATCCGCTCTGGATTTCCTCTCCTTTACCAGCCTGTGGCATTTAAAAGCTGCCTAATCTCTATTTTGGTTTCTTGCCTGTGGCCTGAGGGAAGGAGAGGGAAGGACAGGAAGAGTAATTGCAAAGCAGAAAGCCTTTTGTCTCAAGTATTGATGAGATCTTGAATGCTTTCCTCCCTCTCTCCCTGCTATCTATTGCCAAGGCTCCCACAAATTGCCACAACAGCCTAAGAGCTACTTTTGCCCAAATTGTTCCTGCTACAGCCAGGAAGAAGGTCCTAAATTCTATTTTCCTACTTATTTTTAACACAAACAATCATACCCTGCAGCCAATGGGTCTGAGCTTGTTGCTTGGGGCGACCCAGGACTCCTGACAGTGCTCAGGAGTAATCCAGGCCACTGGATAAATCAGAGTTTCCCTCAGTAAGACAAAGAGAGGGAGGAACAGAGGAAATGAGATTTCCAGGGACGATTTTCCAGAGAGGTCATTTTGGATTTGACACCCAACTCAGCTGTGCATACTGACCTCTGGGTCTAAGACCTGTTCTGAGTGGGTTTTGTTTCTTTTGGATTAAGTCCCTCACCTGGGTCATAGGAATCTAAACCTACTTGTCTTCTTGTTAACAGGAGCCTGATGCAAAAAGGGAATAAACAGAAAGCAAGTTAAGATTAGGATATTTTGGTCAACTGATGCTTCATCTGTCACTCCATTAGTGCTCATTTAGGTCCCTCTGGCCTGAAGGACGGAGATTTCCCCTTAATCACATTACTGCAATATTAAAAATGCTTTTCAGTTTAACCAGTTCCCTCTAAATTGTCACATCGAGATGTGGTAAATGTCAGACATATCAGTTAATGAAAACTACGTTTTACTGCCTCAGGAGCTGGGGGTGCCAAAAGGGAATTGCAAATACTGCAAATCCAAAAGAGTCTCTTTTTCAAGATAACAGAGCAAAATCAGCCAGAACCATTCCTTGAGAAGGTCCATGGCTCTAAGAGTTATTTTTTATTATATCATCTGCATTTATTCCAGTTCCAATCCAAAGAGGATATTTAAAGGACGAATATGGATGTTCAATACAGCTGCCATAAAGCAGAGGTACCACACACCAGACCCTCTCTGTACCTCAGTGCACAAGCAGAAGCTGTCCCCAGTGCCTGGGTGACAAGCCCCCTCCATCCCTGCCACCCTCCACACTGAGAGATGGCTCCTGCAAACAGCCTGGATGATGCCATTTTTCACCTGCTTGATTTTCTCTGGCTGTAAAGTTATCATGGAGCCAAGGGACAACAGGAGGGGACTATCTTCCATCTTCTGCATCTATGCATGATAATAATGAGAAATTAACTTTGCTTTCCCAAAGGAGCAACCTACTGATGCAGAAACTGGCTGGGAAAAGCTGGAGGCCTGGAGGAAGACATGAAAAGAGACAGCCTTTCAAGAAAATACTGCACCGAATCCTTGTCCTCGTTTCCTTAGGAAGGCAAAGAAGACCAAGTCCTTGAACCTGTCTTCATCCAGGCCAGTGTGGGAATGGGGAGAAGTTCCAGGAGTGAGTGTGACAAGGTCCCTCCCACTCAGCTGATGCCCTGCCATGCAGCAGAGCAGGCAGAGCTCTGGGGCTAGCCAAAACTGCAGGTGATCAGCTCCGAGTAACCATCTATTTCCTTCCTCTCTGCACTGCCCTCACACTGCAGCAGTGATGGACAGGGGCTGTCAGTCAGGGCTGACATCATGCTCTCAGAAACACCTCATCTCTTATTTCTTGTTTCTGCCCAAGAAAAATATCTGATGACTGAAGTTATTTCTCCCCTGAGGAATGCTGCTCTTGAAGTCTTCATTTACCTTGACATTTCCCCCCACTGCACCTGTGGCTTATCAGAAGATTAAAGCACAAATGGAAAACTGAAAGAGGAATCTCAAGCAGTTGCAGCCCTTGACATCTCACCCACCCTCGGCCATGCAGATACCTGGACACTCACTGCTGGTTTAGGAGGTCACCCAGGGAGGATGGAAGCACCCAAGCCAAGGCAGAGCCATAACCCTGTCTCAAGGGCATCACCCACCAGCCCAGGGATGCACCTGGAGGATGCTGTAGCAGGTAGATCTCTTCCATACTGACAAAAAGCTTTAAAATTATATTTACATGGGCAAATGTTTTCAAGACTGTGGGGATTTTGTCCACCACAGCTGTAACACTGGCAGATCACACAAAAATTTGTTTGACAAACACTTTTTTCCCCCCTCCTAAATAAATGCTTGGCTTTCACCCTCAAGCAATTATTCATGCTTGCCCTGAAAGAAAAGAAACCCCAGCATGTGCCCAGCCTGCACCAGTGGGACCAAAAACCAAAGAAAAGCCCCTCAAAAACTGAATGTAGATACCCAGACTTCACCACAACTGCTGGAAAGCCATGGCATCTCATGGGGAGAGGCTGCTGCCACTGCAACCTCCACTCTCCTCACTGCAAGTTGGGATTATTGGCACAGCAACTGAAGGAATCACAGGCTATATGTTTGAAATTTGTCTGATCTTTGAACTTAGCAGGGATGAAATAAAGACTTCAGATAAGTCTTCTTATCCATGTAGTAGGAGGTATAAATCACAAGGAAATGTAAATAGGCTGCAATTTTTTTGTATCTAGAATTAAATGCCATTTCCATTTAAGATGTAAGTGAACTTCCTTCATATCTACAATATTTAAGAAGTTAAAAGTCGAAAGTCACAGACTTAGCAATTTTATCCAGAGTTGCAGTTAACACAATGGCTAATCCCATCAAGGGGGCATTAGTTGGTGTCTAGATGCTCCTTCTCATAGCAGCAGTAGGCCATAAAACTTAATCCTTACCTCCTCTTTCCAGCATGTAGCCTCTGTGTTCATCAATAAAAGTAATGTCATTCATTAAGTATGGGAGTAATTACCTGTGGCTCAAACAAACAGGACTGAACAAGCCATGCCAGTGCCAAGTTGGCTTTTGTGCTGTTGCTCAGAACTGCCAGGGGCTGCCAAGGAAAGCCCTTCTGCAAGATCAGGATAAATGCTGAATGGCTGCAACACAAGCTGCAGACCACTACACAGCTGCTGGGCATCTCCTTGGTGTGGGCTGGGATACCCAGCAACAAGTCCTACCCCAAAAGCAGCTCCTTGGGGCAATTTAAGGAGTGATCAGGATG